TGCCAAGTTCCCTTTAAGAACACGAGTATAGAAACCAATCTGTTGTGGTTTAAGTTTTCTCTCAATGCACCTCAATTGATGTCTATCTGACTTAAACTTTTACTATCTGACTATAGTGAGATACCACAAACAGATGTCTATTGGTGACGTCTAATGTCTGATTAACAGTAGTCATAACACACCTGATGCCCAACAACTCTCCCAGAGACAGCCTTGGTGCTTTGTGCTTAGCTCATGGCACACTGAATAACACTCTCCTAACTAGGGTGAGACAACCAGAGTGTGAATACATGAGGATGAACATCATTATCACTGATGGTCTTGTTTCATTACCAGTTAAAACTTCTTGTAGTACATTTAACAAACATTGTTAACCAATTATATCTGATATTGCTGGATAAACGTTGCAGTGAATATATTACCACAAGTGTTCTTTTTGCATTATATACCACTATAACTCTGATAAGTCTGCAATAGGCCAATCGGTTGTGCTCTAGGTGGTATTGCACTTGAGGGATTAAATGTGACTGTGTATAAACCTGAAACAAGATGGATGGTGCCCATCTGTTGTGGGTTTTCTTTCATTTCAACAGTTGGTAGATGGCTGGTGAGATTCCAGACAACTGTAGTTGAAGTGGTTGTCCTTGTTTCAGTAAGTGACTTGATACATTTGTGAATGTTTCTTGTACAGATGCTGAACTGAGCTCTCATGATGAGACCAACACTGCTGAAATAATCGACCAGATGTTTGAGGAGGTGCTGGAATATGCTGGAAGGATCGAGGAAGAGAGGGTGGATGATGAAGACACCGAGGACCACGACAGTGGCATTGGCGCTTGCACTGGAGACAAAGACAAGATGGACACAGAGTCAGAGAAAGAGAAAAGTGAAGAAGAGGGGGAGGCCAAAGAAGAGGAGTGTGATGAGAGCAAGAAGCTTGAAAGCAATGGCGATGACCTGCTGACTTTTCCTCCCAGCGGCATCCTCTCTCCTCTCAGCAAGTCTGTAGAGGCTGTGGTCACCCCTCTGGTAAGATAAATTCATCACTTTGAGCTGAGTGAGTTTCATTAGGGGAGCATTCTGGATTAAGTAATTGATGGAAAGCAAATAAAACATGTTCATTAATATTGTTCCATGTTGCCCCAACAGCGACTGGCAGTGAACCAGGAGTCCAATCCTCCATCTCTGCTCCTGACTCCAGAAGAGACCAGCACCCCTCCTGCTGAATCTGCTCCTCTGTACAGGTGACTAATCACAGCAGCAACACAGCTGTACAAATCCTGTTTGGATTAAACTCCAATTGAATGACAGGTCTAGAATAGTCTAGTACATCTTTTGGCTTCTGCCACACATGTAAGAAATGACAGGCCCAGTGTTATATGCCATTTATCAACTTTTGTTAGCAATGCTAAATGATTTTTTAATTAAAAATACAATCAAAATCATTTGTGAATGGGTTATGTAGAGCTTTGAGGTGCTTTAAATGATGTGGATCAAATGTTGGACCAGCAGGCCCACATGCCTAAGTAACGCTATGATTTTACATCATTTTATGGGTCCAGATAAGATAAATAGGAATCTGGTTTCCATAAAGCTGAAATGTTTTTCTGTTTCTTAAAGGCTGGATCAAATTTCAGTCATGTAATTCTAGGAACATTACATATCGTCATAGTCTTAATATCACTCATTACTGTTTCTTAAGTTTCTCTATAGGAGCTGTAGAGTCAGTAATGATCCTCTGTTTGTGGGTTTATAGTTAACATACTTGACTGTGTAATTAGATTTTGATTTGTTTTGTGACAGTATTGATGCCTACCGCACACAAAGACAGAGTAAGCTGCCCACCATTCAGAGTGTGACTCCCGGGGTTCAGAGACGAGCTCAAGAGAAGTCCAAGCCTCAACCCTCTGTCAACACCAAGGAGAAAATCACGGTATGTAGTACTATTTTGAACTCTCTGATAACTTAACATTGACACGTCCATTGACTAAAGTCCTTAGTTAGTCCATAGTCCCTAGTTAGAAACAATTAAGATCTGAAAAAGTGAATGGTAAAAATGTGGCTTAAAACTGGATGAAAAGTCAGTGTATGACACCCACAACGCTGACGCAGGCACAAAGGGGATATGACGCCATTGACAGGCGACCAGTGAAACGCAGCGTTACCTGAATAAAATGGCAGATTTCTCTGCGTTTGAACATTGTTGGAAACATTTGGGATAATGTCAGTACACAACTCAACTGTTTATAGACATTTCAATGTGGTAATGTTACCTATTCTAGCTTTAAGGCGGTGTTTGTCATTCTTTTATTACATCTTTTAATTGAGTCAATTGTAAATGCACTCTGCACTAGAACTGCTGAAACTGACCTCTCTTTAACTGAATTATATCTAGTACAAATGTTGAGTAACCCATGATCTTGCATATTATCGTCTGTGTGTGTGTGTGTGTATCCAGGCTCTTAATGAAGAAGCAGGGAAGCTGCAGACTGTGATCAACCAGACCCTGCAGGCTCTCAGCTGCTGTACTGATGAGGAGCATGGACGAGGCTCGCTGGAGGAGGCTGAGGCTGAGAAACTACTGCTGGTCTCCTGTATGTGCAGATCAAAATTATTGGTTTCATAGTCCCATCTTTGTGTACCACAGGAAGCCATGTTCACACTATTCTGTTTTACATACAGATAGATAAAATAACTTTCTGTGTTGCTTACTATTCTTGGGATGATTGTTTGTCGTTTTCAGGTGAGAAACGCTCTGCCCTGCTGGCTGAGGTGGCCAGACTAAGGGAGGAGAGGAATTCAGAGTCCGGGGAGGACAGGGAGTATGTTTCCCAGCAGCCCTGCAGAGGGACTGTTGCCATCACAAACATCCAGCTGCCTCTCAAGGTTGAATTTGTCTGCTCCTCACACAACCGCACAGGTAGCCCAGCAGGAGACACTTCTACCAGTTTTTGATTAGGTTTTATTTTTAATTGCAGCTTATTAAACATTATTGATGTGTTAGTATCAAAATTCAGGGCTTAGTTAACACAAATGCAGCATTTGCGATTTATTTGAATTTTTTATGTGCACGTTTAGGTCGTCCGAGTCACTACTTCTTCATCCTGATCCGCTACGGACCCTGCAACATTGTCGCCACCCCGCTGGCCACAGCTGCTGACGCTCAGAACGGAGACACCATCTCCTTCCCTACTTCTGTCACTCTGTAAGATGCAGTTCTTTAGCTGCTTTCTGTTACTTCATTTGACACGTCTTATACACCGCCTCTAGCACATTTTAGCTACATTTACATTTTTCTTAATTTCTTTTGTGTGTGTTTTTTTTATAAGCACATCAAATCCATTGTTTCACTAGTTGGTTTCTTTTTATTTTGGTAACAAATTCTGAATGAATGGTCACATCCAGATGTTGAAACTGTTTTTATGCACTTAAATCTTTTTGCATCAGTGTGATCATGTCAGTGGTATATAGATTAATGCATTGCTTACTTTGTGTCGTTGATATGTCAGGAAGGATATTCGTTCATCCTTTGAGATTGATGTGGAAGTCTACAGCCTGGTGAGACAAAATATTTGACCTTTTGGATTACAGTTGTTTTTTCTTACGTATTAAATAATATGAATTGGAATAAATGAATAGAATAGCGAAGTGGTTGGGGCTGCATATAACAAGTTTTATTCATAACCAACCAACATTGTTATTCATAACCTCTATGTTCCTGAACCTTGACTTATATTATGGACATTAATTATAAATATTTAAACTTCCTGAGAAATCATGTTTATTCTGGCAGCCACTGTACTTCAGCCTAAGCAGATGTAGATATAAGGCTGTGTCACGCTGCCAACTATCTTCTCTTTGCTTGGGTAAGAATGGGACAAAAGGATGCCTTTAAAGGTGCACCAGGTCAGAGAGCTGGGTGGAAAAGTTCTGAAATAACTAGTAACTATTTGTAGGACTAGTGGAGCTGTATAAGCAGGGATGACAGCTGGATTACTGAGATCAGGCCATGGCATCCAGATGAAACTGCCTATCAAGCCACTGGATCTAGCTAATAAAGCTTAGCCCAAGAAGATACAATATAGATAAAAGGCCAGGTTAAGCTGCAGAGTATCAGCTCTTTGCTTGGGTGAAAGTGGAGTTTAGAGGTCGTTTAGGTCAAAGCTAGAGGACAGCCTTGTCTCTCAGAGAGTCCAGTATATTTATTATGGCACCATCTGATACCTGACCACCGCAAGCGCTAGTGATCAGTCAAAACATGATTTAATGTAAATACTGAGCTTCCATGGTAATACTTGTTTCTACTGCTTAACTTTCTTTTAATTGTTAAAACTTTTTTCCATTTGTAGAAAGTTGTAGAAAATGTGCCTGTTTTTGTGTCATCTAGTCCCACACTTCAGGTAGTAACTGCGGCATGGACCGGACCACCACCAAGTCACGGGTAAGTGGGTTAGCCACATAATGAGACGTGTGTGTATTTTTTCAGTGACAGGCCGACTCATTTATGGTGTCTTTTACATATTCAGGTCACACCAAGAAAGCTTCTGAATACCATCACTGTGAGTATCCAGCTTTTGTCTCCTGTCCAATGATTATAGCATGTTCTTTTTTTTTTTTTAATTCACATCATTGAAGCACTACCTAAACCTTTTCTTTTGTTTTCAACAGAGATCCAGTAACAGCCTGACATGTAAGTTGTGTTTTATTTTTATTTATTTTTTTGTGAATATGTTCTAGTACAGGGAGGCTTCATTTGTCCCGTTTGTGTCAACAACAGCTGGTCATTTATTTCTTTTTCTTTTTTTCTTTTTTCTTTTTTTTTTATTGTCAGTTTGTTAACTGTCAATTTAAAAGATATATATATATATATATATAAAAATAAAATATATATTTTTAAAACATCACTGCTCTTAATGGTCATATCTGACTGACTGTTTCATGCCATTTTTCATTCTGCGCTTCTTTGTCCTTCAGCTGCTGCTCTTCCCGCTCTCAACACTCGTCGCTCCAGTAACTTCTGTTTGGTGGGCTCCCATAAGATCACCCTGGCCTCTCTGGGACACAGCAAGTTCCCTCTGGATAAGGTAACAATCTGTCATAAAGGGCTGCTTTAAGGTTAATACACGACTGTCTTACTCGGGCCAGAAGATGTGTCTACTGCTGAAACGTGTGCACAACAACAATGTTGGTGACTTTTGGTCAGTTGAATCATTTTAACAGTTAGAAACTATCTGACCAATAGAATCTACAGGAAACAGGTGCCTTTCCCTCATATAAAGCAAGTCCAAGTCACATCAACTTTGATGTCTTTGTCAGTTTGGCAAGTAAAAAATAACATTTCATTGGTGGATGCAGACATAATT